ACCTCTTGTTTCCAGATATGAGGACAAAATATTGAATACATATATTCCTTTGCTTGTCTTAGGCAGTTCTTTGCAACATAAGAAGTTTTCTTGAATTTCACCCTCAACTGATAAATCTTACAAAAGCTACAACATGACATTTATTGGTAAGATCTGTTGACTCATCAACCTGAATAGAAAAACTGCTATTTTTCAGTTTGTCACACAAAACCTCTTCACTGTCATGTACCATGTCATCAATATGTCAAATTATTGTACTGTCTGAAAGTGGAACATTTTTAATTTCTTGTACTGCATTTTGTCTAAGCATTTTACCAACTATAATTTTTACAAGCTGGTAATATTAGGTTATCACCAACTGTATGACTTTTCCTTTTCTGTGCAATAATTTCGGCTACCAAATAACTTGCTTCAAGAACCTTTTCACTTACACTAACTTTACTCAAAAAAGCTGTACTCTGTTTCTTCTGAGATTCCAACAGCCTTTTAAAATAATTTTTTTATTTTTCACATGACTGTGATTTGTTGTGAAGTGTCTTTTCAGTTTAGCTGGAGCCATTGCCACATTTGAAAGTTGTTTGCCAGACAACACAATGAAATAGGACAGCTTTGGTCAATGTACCATGTGAAGCTCATTGATAAATAACTTTCATTGTAAAGACAGATCTTCTTTCAAGCTGTTTACAAAGCTAGGTGCTTAAAAGATTTTTAGCAGTGAACAAGAGTAAAAATATATATTTCTGCCATCATTTCTTATGACTTGGTTAAACTAATAATAATAATCCCTCATTTTCAAAATTTATTCAGTGAAAATATCAAGCAAAAGTAAAATGTAATTTTTACATTCCTTGTCATTAAAATTTATTTTGAAAGTGGCTTTTCTTTGTTTTGCTGGGAATACTAACAACTTGTTTGAACTTGTTTTTTTATGTCCATGACTTCTGAACAGAAATAAAAAAACAAAAGAAGAACTAGATTTACTGACTATAAATAGTTCAAGTTGATATGATTTTATTGGACGAAATGAATGAGTGACTAAGAAAAAGAAAAGCTTTATTGGAGTGTTATTTCAGCCATCTTTATTCTTCATTTCTTATTTTGCTGTTTTTTGGGGGTTTTTTTTGTTTTTGTTTTTTAAACCATTGTTATTGCCATCAGTTATTTTAATCAACAGTTTTACTTTCAAGAATCCTTGATGAGGCTGAAATTAATCCTATTCCAGGTTGTTGGGGAAGGGGCATGTCCACACACAAAATTGATATGGCTCCTTTTGTGGTTTGGCTATTGATTTGAAACTGTAGATACTTTACTAAAATAAACTGTCATGAAAAATTTTTCTTGAGTTTAAAGGTCAATGTGAATATAAGGAATTTTGTTTCATAATGGCTGACACCAGCAGATTTTTTGTTAACATGAATTTCTTTGCCTTGTAAATGAAACAATTGTATTGAAGCATTTGATTTATTTACTTTTCAATCTCTCACTTCTTTTAATCTTGTTTTATGCAGATAAGACAGTAAAATAGAAATTTAAGATAAACAGCAAAAGAATAATCCTACAAAGTTTCAAACACTTGAAGCCATTATTTGGAGCTCGATGAGATTTTAAACTTGGCAGGCAGCTCCACCCTCTCTACATCCTCTGCACTTTTCACAACTCCAAAATAGCTTGGCTGGGATAGGGTTAACATAACAGACCAATCACATCTATTCTGATTTTAGTTAATTAAATATAAAAAAAGAAAAAGAATATGCTACTGTAATGCAGTAGTGTAATGGGTAACAATTGAGAATGAGAAATTGACGATCTGAGTTCAAATTCCAGTTGGGTTTGTTATATTCACTTATGGACAAAGATCTTTATGAAAGGTATGAATCCGTCTCTTCTCCCCTCAGCTATGTTTTGAATAAAAGGACAGACTGTGTCCTATAGTCTTGATTGGCAACCAGTCTACTGCAGGAAAATCTTTTTCCTAGTCAATCATGAATCAAGAGACATGATCACTCAAACATGTATCACATGTGGCATTTAACTAACTGAATAGTTAACAAGCTAGTCACAAAAAACATTTCAATTTTTTGAAAATATAGGTGTATTCCGTTTTTTTTTTTTTTTTTTTTTCATTTATCTCTTGGTTAAATAATTGACTTTTTTTTTTTTTTTTTTTTTTTTTTTTTTTTGCTTAAGTGACAAAGTAAAATATTTGTTTGTTTTGCTAATGCATTCAATTGTTATACTTATTTAGTAGTTTATATATATATATATATATATATATTATTTATATATATATATATATATATATATATATATATATATATATATATATATATATATTTATAAAATTTATTTTATATAATATATATATATATATATATATATATATATATTTGTTAAAAGGTTTATTAGTTTTTAAGTAGTGAGCTGGTTGTAGGTAGCTGAGTAGGAATTGGGCCATGTGGACACATAGTTTTCAACCAATGCTTTTTGTCCACTGGGCCATGTCTCCAGTGGATAAAAGCATAGGTTAAAGTAATTTAAAAAAGTGACTTGACAGAAAAATGTTATAAGTTCCATACCTGACCACAGCAGAGTTGAACAAAAACTTGAACAGTTGAATTACTAAAGGAAATTAACTAAGATTGAGATATCCAGAAAAAGAATGGCATGCGAAATGAGAACAATCTTCTACTGCTGCAGACTAGAAGAGTTTGGTTTGAAATTCCAGTGTAAATCACCTGAAGAAGGCCGGAACATATAATGGCCAAAACGTGAATATGACAATAAAGATGATGGCAACAGTTCCATCTCAGTTACAATTTATTTCATGTATATATTTAAATATTCACCACTTCACACTAAAGTTTTTTTTAGAAATTCTTCCTTGGAATTATCCTGACCAACTGGTATTTTATATATAAATAAATTATTTATTCTAGGATATTAAAACAAAAACGTTAAAAATTGCTACACAATTACAATTATGTTTCAACATTACAAATGTGTCTCTTTGGGCAAAGTTAACAAAACAATTTCAAAAGCAGAGTACTTCCTTTTTTTTTTTTTTTTTTTCTTTGAGAAGAAAAAAAAAACAAGAAAAATAGGCTTGTTTGTTTTGCCGTGATTAACCAATTGAATGTGACTTACACTAAATTCAAACTCACCAAAACAATTTTTTAATATAGGTTATGATACTAAGTTGTCTGCATATAAATCTTAGACATTTTCCTTATGGACAGCTACAAGTTGTTACATTATTTTGTAAGATGTGTAGAAGTCTGGCATTCAACTTTCATAATAAGTAAAAGCTAAAGAGGTAGGGAGGTAATTTAACATGTTGTTAACCATTTATATGCTTGTTCAGCTTCTTATATAAAATTTTGTAGTTGATAAATAAAAGGTCCTGTTTAACAAACTGATAAATAACTGTTTGAAAAAAAAAAACAGATCTACTTTGGCAAATTAATATGCAACCATTAAATAAAGAGCATCCCTATGAGATTTTAATAATACCAATTAATCAATGTAAGATGGTAATAATACTAACACTTGTACATACATATAAGATGTTCATAAAACTAACTAAACATCAATTCAGAGCTATATTAAATGAAAATGAATCTTACAAATAGAATAGTAAGCCATATAAGGTGCGCTCCAGTTCATCTACTGATTATTACTATAAGAAAAAGTATTATCAAATTCAAAGTTTAAACATATTGTAAGGTAAAAGGCAGACTATGCCTACAATTTACAGTCAATTCACTTTTCCTTTAATATGGAGTTTTTATCAGAAAATCTGATAATTTCTAATTTTTCATTTACACATAGAAAACTGGGTTCATTTAAAGATCTACATGTTCTAGCTTTTTTTTTAAATATTTTCCATTTTACCTTTGGCATTTTATTAGCATTTTTAAATTCCAAAAGTATTTAGAAAGAGATTTATTATTTTTATAAGTACTATTGGTGAAGGATAAGTTATATTGATACCACCTAGTCTTAAAGACTTAAAGAATTCTTAGTACTTCCAATATAAAATAAGGAAATTCTGGCCTAACTTAGTACTGACCAATTGGTTAAATGAGGGTGTGTACCAAATGATTTCTTATTTCTTTTTCTTAGATCAATCTTATCATATTTTCTATACTTGATTTCAGCGTACTTGTAACCACTATTCTTTAAAGCAGTATCATAAACACCGCTATATTTATCAAACACTCCTTTGTGAGATGAGTTTTTGTTAATCCTCCATTCTATAGATGAGGGTACATGTTTTATTATATATATATATATATGTGTGTGTGTGTGTGTATGTATGTATGTTTGGGTGTGTGTGTGTGTCTGCCTACTTATTAGAATGGATCTGACTGAATTTGTGGTTTACTGTTGCCAAACCCTGAGTTGTCAGGCCTCAACTCCCTCTAACCAGGAGTTGACAGCCCCCTTTCTGGAGTCGTGAATCCCCCCACATGAGTTGTCAGACATCCTCCATAACCTAGGTTTGTCAGGCCTCCCCCTTCATAACGCAGAGTTGTCAGGTCCCCCCGCCCCGATAACCAAAAGTTGTCACCCACACAGATTTGGCTTCCTCTGAATTATGGCTTTTTCCAAAGCTAAAATTGCTGTTTAAATTAGGGAAAACAAGATTAATGATTAAGGAGAATATGACAAAGAATGTTGATGCCATGGTTGAAATTATTTTCTTGAGCATTTTTTCTTTCTTTATTATTATTATTTATGTTATTAAATGGTTGGCTACATTCCAAACTGACTTCATAAATAGATTTGTTCTAAATATGAAAGTGTCCTATACAAATCTATGAAGACATTTTATTGAATGCAATTGAAAAGAACAAATGAAAATTTGCAATATAGCTTTAATGTTATTTTGCAGTAAATTTTTAAACTGTTTATAAATGCAAAAATGGAGGTTGTAAAATTGAATCCGATCAGCCAGTATTCTATTGTCACGTTATGAGTCACTCTTGTTTCTATTGTAGTTTGAAACAAATGTTACATCAATGTCCAGCCTGGTGGGAACAGAACCTTCAAATCTTTGTTGCTGTGAATATGTCAATAGGAAAGGGGAGAGAAGCCACTTGTTGGCCTGCCTCTGTGACTGTGAAGATATCGACCTTGCTTTTGACAAGTAAGTTTGTCAATTGATTTTTCTTTTGTTAAAAGTGATTCATTTTCATGCTTGTAAACTAATCTTATCAAATGATTATTTATCTTTTCGAAGTGATTTGAATTTGTATACTCTCAGGCCTTGAATAATGGTAGGGTTTGAATAAATGCAGAAGAGTGGGGGTCAGATCAAATAAATGGGTGGAAACATCTGAAGAGAATGTAGGATGAGTCTAGAGTTTAGTTTATTTTAATGAAGGAATGGTACGTAAATATGCAACAAATTTATTAGTTAAAACAATTTTTTTTCTCTATCCAAATTTTCACCACATATACAAGGTGTGGCAAAAATAACTCCCACAAATATCTCCCATATAATGGTAAGACACTAGTGACAATGTCTTACCATTATGTTGGAGGTCTTTCTGCTGCATCCTGTATAAACTTTACAAAGCATGTTTCTAATTCCTTTATTTTTTTATTCTTTCCTTCATGGATCATCTGTCATTGGTTTTTAGCTGTACTCATATTGGAGTAAAAAAAAAAGTGCTTTGACAAGATATCTTAGTTTTGGTACATTGGGAATATTTCACTTAGAATCCTAATGTGTTTTATCTTTTGTTCTAATTCTTGTTCATATACAATTTTACATTTCTGAATAATGGCTGTAAAGGTTTGCTTTTCTTCAATCAAATATTGGTAATAAAAGTCAAATGCCAATGTTCTTTACTCAGTCATATTTTTAGATTATTTTTAAAGCAACAAGGAAAGACAACATATTACATGACTGAAATATTAACCTAAGGACTCAAGTCATGTTCTTAAAATAGCTTTGTCAGATCTGAGACTTTCATATAAATGTCATGCATAGTGTCCAACTCATTCAGAAATATCTAAACTATTCAGCTACATACAACTATTTTCTCATACCAATGATTAAATTAGCTTCAAATGAACCCTGTGGGTTTTAGAGAGGACCATCTTTCATCAAGTTTGTGGGCTGGTGCTACAGAATCACAAAGAAAGAACTGTACCAAATAACAGAAACCACATCAGTTGCAATATTTCAACATTGGCAACAATTAAAATAGATATCACATGTAACTTAAAGAGAAAATACTAGCATAATCAAGTTGTTAACTTTCTGTACTACCTTAAAAAATGATTAGACATGAAATCCCTCATCAGTTCTAGAAAGAGCAATAACAGATAATCGATTTGAAAAAACCTATTTTCCTCAAAAACTGTTTTAAGAGAAAGATTTTGTAAATTTCAACTGACAATAATGTTAATATTCGGTCAGTGTATGCTGAATGTTTCCTTATAAGGAAATAACTAATCTCGCTGTTACCATTGTAATTCAAAGGAATTTTAAAAATTGAATGAATTATAATTTGAATGATGTTTTTAGAATGTGTATCAAATCACTTTTTCAATTCTAAATTATTTTCTTAGAACTGAAATTTTTTCTAGGAAGTTTCCATAAAAATAAATAAGTGAGAGGTTGGAATTATTTTCAAAAATGAATAAGCAAGTGGTAGGTATAATTGATAGACTTGAGTGTAGTGGTGGGGTCACTTTGACCTGGTTTAATTTGAAGTTATTGCTAGGTTTCTATTATTAAAATCTTTTAAATCTGTTGTTTCACTTCTGAAAAATATATAAACAATTTTTGTCACAGCAGCATAAAATTATTATATTTACTAAACTTATCTAAGTATGGCACAAGGCAACAATGTGAAATACCCCACAAGAGAGGAACTCACTACAGCAGTAATAATTTTCAAGCTTAGCTTGTTAACCATTTTCTGTAGTAAGGCGCTCAAAACTAATAATTGGCATACAGCCACATCAGTTTGAAACACAGATTCCTGTATGTTCATCGAAGTTAAGCAATGTTGAGCTTGGTCACTACCTAGATGGGTGACTGCTTGGAAATACCAGCTGCTGTAAGCTTGGATGTGCAGGTGGTGCAATGGCTTGGAATTGTTAATTAGAGAGATGAGTTCCAATTCCAGTTGGGTTCGTTATATTCACTTATGTGCAAATACCCTTGAGAAAGGTATGAATCCATGTCTTCTCCCTTAAGCTATGGGTTAATTAGTAAGACTTGTATCACTAAATCATTATTATCTCAAAAAAAAATTCTTACAATCTAAAAATATTTTCTGGCTTTAAATAACTTGCAAAGTGTTGATAAGCCATAGTTATTGATAATTACTTATTTAGCTGCATATGTCACAAGACCACAAGTGTAGAGCACAAAATAAGAGTGAAATTCACTACAGTTGTAATGATCTACAGTAATTGTTTGTTAAACATTACTTGATAGTCTGGTACCCACTGGCATTTCTCACCAGTTATTGATTAGTATCAATTGTGACCAGTTGACAATAGCTTGTGAGATCTGGTATATTTTGCTCATCTTTTACATATACATGGAAAAGAAAGGGTAAAAATCCATCTGTAAATTGAATGCTGTCTCTAGAGCAGTGTTTCTCAACTCTTGCACTAGTGTGCACTAATGCATCCTGAGAGGTAGCCAGGTGCACCCCAAGTTAACAGAAGAGTAATTTATGAATTATTTTTATATTTTAAAAAAAAATCATTTTTTTAAAAAATAGGGACACTAAATACATGGCTTTTATGTCTTTGTCATTTTAAACTGGATGCTAAATTTAATCTTTAACCTTTAGCACACTGCATTATTAATATTACTTCTCTTTCCACTGCGTTGTTTTTCGAGGCCTGTTAATTGCAGTATCCTTATTATTAATTTCATTCAAAGTTGTTTTCTGTTGCCATAACAGGATATGACAACACAATTATGAAATTCAAACACACTATTGTTCAGGAATCAGTCACCTTCAGTGGCAGGATAAACTTTTTGTACAGCAAATGAAGACACATACAGAGTGATAAAAGTTATGGTGAAGTGGATAATCCTTTCCCTTTTGCCTTCTTCAAGGGATTTAAATCAATCTATCAATCTCTAAAAAAAAAAAAAATAGCAATTTCTTCATAAATTTAGTTTTGTTGCTAACTACACTGCTTTTTGTGGTGAAAGAGAGTCACTTACTGAGAAAAAAAAGACGTGTGTTCTGTGCGATGTGGCCATAAATGCATATCAAACATGCTAAGATTGTATATCCTTTCCTACCAGTCAACCAATGAAAAAATTGTTCCATCGATAAAAGTGGTTGGTGTTCTTGAATTGAAATAAATTGTTTATATTTTTTCTGCCTCATCTGTTGGTTTGCATGGTGATTTCTGATTGTTTACATGTATTTGGATTTGTGACATTGGACTTGAAATTCGTGATTTCAACACTTGTTTCTGTCCCTGGATCTTCAAGTTTGGACTTGTGGTTTGTTTAGTTCATTGTGGAATTAGGTTGCCATATCAATTATTTAAACACATTTTTTGCAAGGAAAGAAGCAAAGTTTAAAGCTTTTTTGCTACACTTCTTAAATTTATCTATTTTCATTTCTCTTCTTCGTTTAATTTATTATATTGAGACTCATGCTTGACAGCATAGTGACACTTAATATTATATTTCTTGCACATGGCAATTTCATCATAACAAATGAGGCAGATAATATTACTGCATGTTTCAATTATGAAATATTTTTCTGTCTATAGAATATTGAATACATTATTTACATTATTCAGACTATTGTCCTCATATTGTCACCATATTTATTACAATGTTTCAGCTGTTGTACACTCTGGCCTTCTTCAGTGATGAATTATTTTCCACTTTACAACTCCTCTCTCACAGACGAAATGTCACCAGCATCTCACACTATTCTATCATTATTTTCATGGAAAATGTTTTGACAAGCTAGATTCCTTACTTCCGCCAGTTCAGACATATTCAGCTATGACCCACAATGCCATGGGGTCAAATCATCCTCATTCCCTTCGTATTCCATTGATAAGGAGGAAGTTCCATTTGCACAGCTTCTTAAGAACTGCAGCTTTGTGGAACAGATCCCCTGAGAGGATGTTTCCGTGATAAATATAATCTTTTCAAATCTTGGATCAACTGTTATCTACTTTCAACAATCTGTAACCCTCTACCTTGAATGGCTCTTGGGCTTTTAGTAAAAGAAAAATAATAATTTAAAATTATCCATAAAATTATTATTATATTCTACTGCATCACTTGTCTTATGTTCTTGATTTGAATTCTTTATAAAATCTGTTGATTTCCTATAAATTTTCAATTGAGCTGTGGAATTTACACATTACTTTTGATCAAGAGAAACATGGACTAATGGATCAAAGTGTTGGTTAAAACATTAGATTCTCTGGCAGTTGTGAGTTCAATCCTTGGATCAGGTAGTGCTGAAAAGTCACACATTCTGGTTCCGTGGAAGAAACACAAAATGTGATTAATACTGATGATGGTATGAATTGTCTCCCCTTGACATGAAAATCAGGATGCGAACACTTATCCCATGCATTGAATAAAGAGTTTGGTTTGAAATTCCAAGGTTATCTAGTATGATGATAGACAACTGAAAAGGGCTGAAGAATATAATGACTGAAATATTTTGAGTCTAATGACCAAGATGAACATGATGATCTAAATTGCAAGACATGTAAAAATGATTCATCTTTTATAAATTTGCAGAAAGCTAAATTTTGTCCGAGTTTCCCACTTTACATCAGTTGAATTAAACAACCCACATCATTAAATAATCTTTTTACTATCAGCATTATAACTTACAAACTGTGTTTACCACATAAATGGTCATGTTTAACTTGTATAACAAATTTTAAAGAATATTTTAATATTTCATTTGTTATATTTCATTCAAATTTTTAAAATTGCCATATATAAGCTTCTGATGGTAAAGATTTTTTTTAAAATTCATTGTGTTTGCATAGAAAACATTTTATATTTGCATTGTAAAAATACAGTCACAAGTTAGAAAAAATATCAGTCTGTTTACTTTAAAGAAAACAGACTAAATGTAATCTTGGTTTTTCAAAATAACTTTTTTAAGAAGTATATATAAAATATATAATTTATGAAAATATTTAAATTTTTATAGAAATCTATAATTTTAAGCCTTGTAGTGTTACAATCTTATTTCTTGTAGCATTTGTAATAAACATTGTTGTCATCTAACATTTCACATTATGTCAGATTCATCGAGTAGAGATGAAAAATATTTTAGAGAATTCTCTAAATAAGTTAAAATTTACTATTATGTGCCATGTTCCTTCAGGAGGAGGAGGATGATGATGATGATGATGATCGTGGCTCTCTACAATTTTCTGTCCTTTGTAGCTCATAGTGAATTTTGTCTTTTTGCAATCTCTACTAAACCCTCTGTCCTGCCAACCATTTGCACAAGCTTGTTAGGTAGGTTATGCATGGTTTTCCTCTTTCCCTCAATATGCCTTGTGAGTGTTAAATTTTTCAGTTCCCCTTTTCTCATTATGTACACTAGAAATTTCGACTACCTCTTTTCTGATGTTAAGTATGTGTCTATTTTGTTTCCAATTTCTCTAAAATTTTGTTGTTGCTCACATGTTCAGTCCATGGTATTCTCAGCATCCTTCTGTATAACCATGTTTCTGTTGCTTCAAATTTCCATAATCTGTGAAAAGATTGCTCATCAGTCACTGCTATATAGGAGGAATGATATTACATAACAGTTGAATATTTTTCTTAAAACTACTGGATTATTTAAACAAGTGAAAAAACATTAATTTTGTTGAATTATTATTAATATAAACATTAGAAAACTTTCCCACCATCATAATGTAGCTTCCTGCGCCTTTTTTATAAATACTTTCATGGTAATTGTTCCGATGAACTTTCTGTTAGGGTACCTAGACTTTATGAATTACTAGATTGTTGGCAAGGTTTCATCATTTTACAGTTGAAATGGTTAGATGTAACCGTAAGTTCTATGCTAAGAGTTTCTTCTTTCACACTTCTCACATGTAAAACTCTCTTCTGGCCTCTTGCTTTCCCGTCAACTTTAATCTTTAGAATTTAAATGCAATGTCAATAGTTGTCTTCTTGTTTTTTTATTGTCTTCTTTCCGTAGTAGTATATTTTTCTTATATTCTCTAACACTCAGTAATCCCCTTGTGTTTTAGTGGCTTTATTACCTTGCTTGGGATAAAATGATTTTTAAAAAAATCAGTTGTTTCTCGTATTGCCAGGTCTATATATTTATGTCCAGAGTAGGAAATTCAAGTTGACTTAGTATAATGTCTTGCAGAAAAATGTTTTTACATAAATTTTATAGAAGAGAACATTTTATTATAAGTTACGTTTCTCTATTTGTAGAACAGGTATTCAGCTAGTATAAAAAATTCCAACAAGAGTTGATTAATTGTACTTATATCTATGTTTGTATATAATTTCTATATTTTCATATTCTTTCAGTTGCATAAATTGTCACAGAGTTCAAAGTAGCACAATGAAAAACATAACTGCCACAATTGCTGATCGATGCCGTATCCCATGGTGTGGTGGTAATGGAGCCATTCAAGTGCGCCTTGATGTAATTGTCCCCATCATTGTGGTACCTTCCTGCATCCTCCTAGGTACAATTGGCCCTATCATGACTGTAGGGGCTCTAATTGCAATGCCCTTCCTAATGTTCATATTTTACCGGATGTGGCGCCGACAACACACCAAAGTACGGACCAAATTCTTTTCCACCTGGGCCAACACATCTATCATTTTTAGCTATTTTGTATTTCAAACATTTGTTGTGGCTTTTCGCAAAATCTTGCTCTGGGAATTCCTTTTATTCTTCACTGCACTTCTTGCCTTGTTGTATGGACTCTACCTAACAAAAAAAAATCCTGGATTTCTCAAGTTTGGGCATTCAGACCAGGAGAAAACTGCTGAAGATTCCAAGACTTGGCAACAGAATTCCAAGTGGGTGGAATCATTGAAGAACAATGATAATAAATGGAAGGATGTTTATTTAAATGGTCAATCTACAATTCAACTCAATGCAAATGGAGAAAATAATTCTATTTTCTCTCAGTCAGAATCTCCAAATGTTGTAAATGAAAACACAGCACCCATGATCCCAGTAGAAGAAGTAACTTGGGTGGATTCACGACCAATTGAAGGTAAGCTATATTGACTATTTGGGAAGTGTGGGGTTGTGCAACTATGGAAAACAAAATGTGAATTTTGGAAACTTAAAAATCCAAGCCAAAATTGAAAAGTATTTCATAGACAGTCATCTGGGTTGATTAATAGAAGGTTCTTTATTTAAGAGGTTAATTACACCTGTCTGTTTCCCAGATGAAAGTCTGTATAAAGAGAGTATGCATGTGTAGGAATCAGTGGGTCAGTTGAAGCTGCAGTTCAACAGTTAGAAAGTTGGAGAGAAGTCTGAGAATAAAGTAATTCACTGCTTATAGAGCAATCACGTAGTCAAGATAAACATTCAGTTGTGGAGCAAGCTGAGTGAAAAACACTCCACCTTCAGAAAGCTATTTATGGTGCCATGGAGCATCTCATTGTGCTCAAGTGGGATAGTCCATTGCTTGGGCTGTGATTGGCTGCTGCTACATTAGTGGAGGTATTTCTGTATAAATACCAGCTTGATTCATCAGTTAGTTTGCAGGGTTTGTATTGAGTTACAACCTGCTTTATTTTTGTCTGCCAGCTGGACGCTAGCTGGGACACTTACGCCAGTCAGTGCTGTTTATTGTATTGCTATTCTACACTGCTAAGACATTAGGACCACCAGCGTTACTTAACAAATAGATGTCTCTTGGTAGAAAAGGTTTGATTGGGATGAAACAGCCCTCATAGCTGTTGTATGATTTTAATTTTACCTTTAATTGTTGATAATTTTTTTAAGTGTCATTTCTTCTGCTGACATGTTTACACCTTTTTCAACAGGATCTCCTATCATTGAGGAAAGCATGACCAAAATCTTGCCCACATCAACAAAGCCATTGTTTGTGGATTTCACACAATATACAATGAACTAAATTCGCTAGATGATATATCCCAATGAAGGAAATGAATCGGCAAAGTTGACTGCATCAAACACAAGAGCAAGCTAACCTAAACACCCTTCCCACCCCTAATCTGGTATATGATATTCAAAACCTACAAAGGAGTGTTGTTTTTGGTAACCGGCACAGGTATGGGTTATGTTAGGTGGTTATTTTGTAATCATGGAAAACAAAATTGGAAAGATATTCAAGGTTCTTGAGTATAAACACAACCAATGCTTACCTGTAGGCACAAGCGTAAACGCGACCAATGCTTACTTGTAGGCACAAGCAAGGGTTGATATGTCATAAAATCCACCAACCCAACTGAATCCAAGATTTTTTCAGAATATATAATTTGGAAACCAGCCATGAAAGTAAGATATTGAAAAATGTAGTAGAAAAGTCTGATATATGAAACCCTATTTGCTTATATTATTCTCTCTTGAATAAGGTTCAAACAAACTCTGCTGGAGATTGAGAAAATTGAAAGAAGCTGCATATATTAACTTGACAGATCTGTGTAACTGTCATTTTGATAAGGATTTCTTTGTTCAGCAGAGAAATAATTGGAGAGCATCTCTATCTACAAAAGATATGGACCTGCATGTGCTGCTGCAAATCGGATCATTTGTGTGAGTCACATTGCTGGGAATGAGCTGATTTTGTTGTTATGACTGGGGTTCTGAAAGTAATCCCTAGTATCCAGACCCATAATGTCAGAGGCTGATGTTGGTGGTAGAGCAGTAGAAGTAGAGCCTTCCCATCAATAACCTCTGATTTTTTTTTTCTTTTTTGCTTCGTTAAAGAAAGCTGCTGAGCAGGAGTCTGACATGAACACATGTACAAAGTACAAAGATTTCACTCTTTGCCATTGATGATTGCTGGACATTTATGGAGATCAAACAGTGGATGTGAGCACAGTAGTGTGTTTCATCAGTAATATGTCAGATATCTCTGCTGATGCAGTCTTTTATAATTGCTGTAGTCTGGCTCTTGTTAATTGCTGCTAAAAATGCGTAACCGATGGTGGTAACTATGTGATAAAATAGTGCTTTGCAACTGACTACTCATTCTGTTGGATGCAGGGTTGTTGAACTGCTAGCATCTGTTCTAATTTCCATAGAAATAATTAGGAAGCATTACATTAAATTTCTTTTTCATATTAATATAGATTAAGCCCTCCAGATAAATTTTAAAAGGTTTTTTTTTTTTTTTTTTTTGTTAATTTTTATAAAAGTTAATAGGTGGGAGTCCAATTTGCTATGTAAATTCCTTGTAAATTGATCCCCATATGGAAGCCAAAACAACATATGCTCATAGCATGTGATTTCTTAAAATGTTTATCCTGAGTAAGATGAAAAAGTACATCAGGAGCTTGAAGGAACATGGAACCACCTCTTAACTGCTGTTGTTTCCTGGTCCACCCTGGCCCAGGGTGGTAGCACCTGTTAGTGTCCCAACTAAGGGCAAATAGTGAATCCCTAAGCAAAAATCAAGAGTACATTTTTATAGTAAAATGACCAACAGTACATTTTTATAGCAAAATGAAAATACAACACTAAAAAATTACTAACAATACATTTTTATAGTAAAATTATCAGCAATACATATTTATAAAAAAAAATTACTAACAATACATTTTTGAAGTGAAATTACCAGCAATACATTAAAAAAAAACAACAACAACAACTATACATTTTATGATCTGCAGACTATATATCTGTAAAAAAAAGGTTTACCTTGCAAGCATAAAATTATGTACAAAATATTTAGATTTTGCCATTAAATAATCCATAGAGGATGATATACTGCTAAATAAAATCAACCAACCAATCTTAAAATGTAGAAAAAATTTTTGAAATATTGTAATCTGAAGGGTTTAATTTATAATAGTACTATACCACCCATAAGCCTGTTAGGTTCCTTTTAAAAGCAGTTCATGATACAAAAGGCCTTTCCATTCAAGTAATAGTAGCCCCAAGGTGACAATTTATACCAATTTTAGTATTTATCATATTATAAAGGTGAAATTATTCCTTCCAAAAATAAACAAACAGCAAGGGACATTCATATTTATCAAAATAACAAAGTATGGATACCTCTTTTTTATGTACCTAGTTTAATTTTTTTCTAGGTATTTTTTTAAATTAAATTTTTATTATACATACTTGTTTCTTCCTCACTTCAAAATATGTAACAGGGGCAAATCAGTGTGCATCTATTTATTTATCATCATGTCATGTGACAATTTTTCAGCCATACAGATTATATTTTACAATGACACACTCGCATATCATCTTCACCTTTCAAATATTTGCCAAATGTATTTGTTTATAAAAAAAATGCATTTAATGTAGTATAGTGAATTTTATGTTGTGTAATACATATTTTAATAATGTTGTTATAATGTATTATAAATGTTTATTATTTTTCACACACATAATAATTGGAATGTATTATGGAAGTGTTTATATTCGAATTGATATAAGAATATGTATTGAAAACAAAAATTGAGTTTCTTATTAAAAATGCTGTAAAAACAGAAAAATGGCCCTAGCTCAAGAACACCTTGTCTAATTTTAACAGGGTTCAAGGTACAATATGCTCCTAAATTTGTTGGGGTATTATCTGTCATTTAATCTGTATCACACACATACATACATAGAAGATTAGAGTTTTAGCATTATCAGTCCATGTGTGATACACGCTTAAGCAAACATGTATCTTTTGATACATGACTGAGAAGGCAGATTTTTTTCCCACAGTAGGTTGCCATTTCTTTCTGTGGTAGACTAGTTGCCATCCAAGGCTATAGAACCTGATCTGTCTTGCTATTTACCCATAGCTGGCGAGGAGAAGAAGAGGATTCGTACCTTTCCTAAGAGTATTAGTATGTAAATGAATGTAATGGATTCGACTGGACAAATACAAATAAAAACACTCTAGATTATGAATTTCCAAAACATTTTTTTTTACATTTATGAATATATTTTGTATTGGTTTCCATAGGGAGGAGATCAATTTACAATGAATTTACATAGAAAATTGAAAAAACAAGAAGAAAGAACTAACCATTAATTTTGAGAAAACAGAATCTATGATTGTCAGTAAAAGCAACAACTTAAGATGCAAACTACAAATTGGAGACCTCAAAATCAAGTATAATAGTTTAAATTTCTAGGAAGAAGCATTAGAATAGCAAAAGATGCCTTCCAAAAATTAAGCAAAGTTTTAAGAAACAGGAAAATTTCATTAGAAACAAAGAAAAGAATATTGAACTCTTATGTAATATCAGTTCTCTTATGTAATATCAGTTCTCTTATATGACAGTGGATGCTGGACAATATCCTCAAGATGAAGTAGACTTGAGGCAATAGAACTGTGGTTCTACAGAAAGATTTTGAGAATACCATGGACTGAGTCTGTGATCAAGTATTAAGGAAAATAGAAACAAAAAGGAAACTTATACTTAGAATCAGAAAAAATGGTTGAAATTTGTAAGGTACATAATGAAGAAGGAAAGCTTAGAAAATTTAACACTCACAGGACATTAAAGGCAAGAGGGAAAGAAGAAAGTAGTGCATAAGCTACATAACAAGCTTGTGTAAATGGTTGGCAGAACAGGGATTAGGATAAATAGGAAAAAGACATTACTAACAGCTACAAAAGACAGGAGATAGTGGAGAACCACAATCGCCCATAGCACATAGAAAAAGAAATATATTTTAAACTTTAAGCAATATAGACTTGTTTGTTAATGATTCATTTTTTTAAACCAAGTTAATAAGAATCATAATCATAATATTTTGTTTTTCAGGTCATCATTTGATCACTTGGTGCGGATTTTGCAACCTACAAAGACCACCTCGGACAGGACATTGTTATGTTTGTAATTCCTGCATTGCAGTCAGAGATCATCATTGTGTTTGGTAGGTCTACAAAATGCTTTTGTAGCATTGATTTTCATTTGCCCTTAAAATGTCAAATATAGGCCAGGTTTTGTACTTTCTGTTTGCACCAACTTTTATAGCTTTAGTAGTTATAACACCCTTGGTCATAAGTAAATAGCATGGTAGACTGTTTACCAACCAGTGTAGGTGACAGGCAACTGTGATTTCAAATCAGATACTTCAATCTTAGAAATGGATATCAGCTTTTAACTTGCTTCTAGCAACACCTGCAACCAAACTGATGGGAAACATTTGCTCTGAACTACATCAACTGTATATCCTTGGATCTCTTTTCTTTTGGCTAACACTTTTGAGGGATTCTTTTGGTATTGTACTACTGTTTGTTAAGACAGAAAGAGAAAATAATTCTCTTATTTGTTCTTCTCGTTTCTTTCTTCTTCACCTTTATTTCTTTTTCCTTCTTCTTTTTGCTCCCTGTTTGCTTCTTACTCCCTTCATCTTACTTCTTTTCCTTCTTTCCTTTTGTTTTTAAGTAGGAGTTAGATGTCCTTGAATCATAGTTCTTTGAAATTTGAGTAATCTTTTCTAGGTTACCATTGGACATAACAATGACTTTTCCAAATACAAGAATTTGGACTGGTTTTCATTGAAGTTTTTAAGATGGCTTTATTTTATTTTATTTATTTTGCATTCAGTGTTTTCTGAATGCTTATTTTATTTTTCTGCCCATTTTCTTGTCTTCTTAAGGCAATGTGTCTGATGTAAAATTTTACTTGCATTCTATAGAACTAAAAGCGTCAGAATTGAATTTAAAAAATACTTGTCCAAATTAATTGTACAGTTTTGGAGATGAAGCAAAAAAAGAAATAAATAGGTTGACAGATGTAGTACCACCACCACCACCACCACCACCATAAAAGAGCCATTGGTAAAACTGTATAAATGGAAAGCAGCATCATATTAATAGAAAGAACAAGGCTACAATGAGACTTTGCATGTATCAAGAAATTACTGTAAGTTAATTAATGAAGCAAAGATATTGTGAGAGTGGTTAGACAGTAAGTCTTACAGAAAAGGAAATAAATCCAAAATTTTGAGAAAGTTTCAGTCCAAAATGAAAGGTTTTTACTTTTTTCATCATAGAATTTTACTCTCTGAAATGAAAATAGAAATTAGAGAATTGGGCAGAAGACATTAAGTGTGTGCAAAAGTTACCAGCCAACATTTTTGAAAAGTAAAGTTAGTTGTTGCTGTTTAAGTACTATAAAAGAATGAACATATCCTTCCTTTCTTTCTCGTCCTTCTTTGCTCCAAGATGTAGCAATGTCAATATGCTCCTTGTCTGCACTGATGATAAAATCTTTTCCCAGGTGACTGATGACTGAACTTTTTACACATGCTTATCACACACACACACACACACACACACGTGATTTCCCAATAGCTAAGTTTTAATGTTTTTTCTTTCTTTTACAGCTGTGTACATACTGGTATGTTTTCTCTCTTTTTTGCTTATTTTATACATAAAAATACACATGAAAATAAAAATGTGTTGAAATTTATTCCTTTTCTCCTTTTTACCTTTTTTACAAATAATGACAATCTATCATTTACATGGGAAAAATTTAGGTTGTCATTGCTTTTTAGTTGAACTAGAAGTAGTAATGGCAACATGAATTCATCCACTTTTGAGTACAGAAATAAAATTAGCAAATATAGCTTTGAAAGTTCCTAACAAGAGATGTGTATTTTAAAAAAAAAAAAAAAAAAAAACAGTTTACTGAGCTTTTTGTTTTGCATGAAATCTCTCAATGGAGTGATTAAAATCACACATAACTTAAAGGTGGTTATTTTGATGATATTTCTTTCTTTATTTTTATAGAGAAAAAAGAAAATAAAATCAGTGCATCAATGTAGCTCACCATATATTCTACCAAGAATTGGATGTTGTAGGGGTTTCCCCCCACTTAGTTTGCCAAGAAACCTGTTTAGTGGAACTTTTTCAGAACTATAAAAAAAACTGGACATGGTCTTCCTCTTTTAACTCTTTTCGGTCTAGAATGCGGTAGGTAGAAGACTTGTCCAGTTTTCCTTTTAGGGGACTTAGTCACCCGGCTACATGGTGCATCACCCACATGCACACACTCAAACACACAAAAATACTGCTAACCCTATTAATTTTTCTTCCTTTTCAGCTGTGTACACACTGGTGTATACAAATCTCTCTTTAGTTAATCATTTATTAGTTATGTATATAAAATACATGAAAATATCAATGTGTTGAAATTCATTCCTTTCTCCTTTTTTACCTTTTTATAAATGATGACAACTTGTCATTTACATGGGAAAATTTAGGATGTCATTGCTTTTAGCTGAGCTAGTGACTGCCAATGGTGGACTGGCCAGGATATCAGCTTGCTCAATGACAAGTGGGCACCTAATAGAGTGGGCCTTCTATATAAAGTAAAAATACAATAAAGAATCAAACAAAGGCAACTGTTTTAATAATTAAAAGGAATAAGAAATTTATAAAGTCATCTGCACACTATCAGTTATTCAAGTCCAATGTGAGAGGACATTTATAGAGCTGAAGGTCATAAAGACAAGGTTAAGAATTTTGCAATCATAACTATTGCTATCTATTGAAAAGGAATTGTCAGATGAATTGGATGCAAAAGCAATTATTGGCAGATTAATTCATCCAGTGAACACAAACAATTGCTCTTAACATAGTGAACTACATGCAATGTCCTATTGTGCTTTTGAACTGTTAATGTGTAAATTGTGCAGTAAACTACTTAAAAATATCAACCAATTATTTAAAATTAAAAAAAAAATTCAATTATAACATTGAATTTACATTTAACATTCTGCCAATAATATGTACAATACATGTACACTATAATTATTAAGAAATACACATTTTTTTCCACAAAAATTTTAATTGTACCCTTTTTCATGTATGTTTTTTTTTTTTTAATTTATTCATTATGAAAATTAAATGATAGCATTTCAGTTGTGTGTGGGCCCCTTGTCTCCAGTCTCCTGCAACCAATATTTTTAGACCTAGTTTGCCACTGGTGACTGCATCACTAAAAAACTTATATTATGAAAAACAAAATAAATTTTTGCTTTTAATATTAATTTGATTAATTGGGATTATTTATGATTTTAAATAATAAATATTAATAGGCAGTTTAAATAAATAAATCTGAATAAGTTGTATCAGATTGGTGCAAAAGTAATTCCAATTTCAAGGGCTATATTAAGAATGAAAAAAGCCCATGACTATGAAAATATTTATTCATTAACATCCTTTGCTTTCTAGAACATTCCATCTATCAACAAGCTTATAGATGCCATGCCTGTAAAATGGGATTTTAGGTTTTGAAGCAAAATATAAATCCATCTCATTTTTCAACCTCTTCTCTTGATGCCCATCCAAATGATTCTGTCGTCTCTGAAATAAGTGATATTAGGAGGAGCAAGGTCAGGAGAATATGGTGGATAAAGCAATATTTCCCAACTAATTCTTTCAAAAATTTTTAGTCAGCTGAGCTGTGAGGAGGATGACCATTATCATGATGAATGATTGACACCCTTTCTGTTCACTAAGGAAGGTCGCTTTTTGGTTCAAAGCTGTTTTCAAATGATGAAGTTGATCAGAGTATAGGTTAGCTGTAATTGTTTGATTAATGTTTAACAGTTCATAATGGACAATTCCTTCAATATCTACAATGCACTCAACGTGATCTTCTTTGGATGGAGTCTTCTCTGTTGTTGAACTGGATCTTTTCTTCTCAACTGATCCACGATCAGCAGCATTTAATGTTATGTTAAAAGGATCCACTTCTCATCATCTGTAACAAGCTTACCTAAAAATGGTGCCTGGTAGGTGTCATGAAAATGATGATTCACAACAAGCAATATGATGTTGCAGATTCTCTGGAAACAGTTTGTGTGGGTCCATTCCCCAACCACTGAAACCTTTCTGAAGATTTTTTAATTGGCATAGCATAGTTGTATGGTCTATGTTAAATTGTTTTGCAAGTTCCTAGAGATAATGGTGGGATTGTTTGTGACAACAGTTTCCAACTCTTCAGAACCAAGTCTTTTGGGACAACCTTCTTTTTGCTCATCTTTGAAACTAAAATCCCATTTTGTGGAAAACCACCTCCTGCATTACTTTCATTCATGACATCATCTCCAGAACTGTTCTGAATAGATTTTGCTGCTGCATTTGCATTGAACCTTTTTGAAACAAAAACACAACATAATGAATGTGATCTTTAGATGGGATAAATATATATATATATATATATATATATATGACCAAAAAATTTTATATTTTAAAGCAGGATTAGTATAAAATACTTTTATACATTCATAACAATATATTTTATCACAAATTTCAATAATAAAATTGTATTTAAAAAGGTCAAAACCGGACATTACTTTAACCCAACGTGATATTTATTCTTAAACAAAATAGTTCAAACCAAGCACTATGAAAACTTTTTTCAATGTCATTTTTATTTTTTGTGCTGATATTCAGGTGTAAATGCCCAACAAAGTTTGAAATATTTTAAAACCTAATCCACTATTTTTCTCTTGTTTTCTATTTCCTTATGTAATAAAGAGATGAACTCCTCCTCTCAGTGGGTTCTACCTTTGAAGGCTAGATCAGGAATAAAATGGATTGAGTTGATATTTGGGCAGTGCCAAGTCTTATTTAAAAAGAAAGAATGCAAACATTTCCAGGTCCTTTCTGATGAAATATTCATTTAAGGTTTCATTTATTCTGCTGCTCTTTTATACTTCAATTAAATATAGAATATGAATAATATATATATATATATATATATATATATATATATATATATATATATATATATAAACCACTGTATTTTTATTTGATAAGTTGTATATTGTGTTATTCCCATGAACAATTTAGATGAGAAGTAAATCTTAATGTTTACAAATTACAATAATAATGTTCAAGTCTAACAAACTGTTAT